GTAACTTTGCCAGAAGTGCCCTGTCGAAGGCCTTCGCGATATCCCGGCTTACAGTGAGAGCCTCGCCCTTGCTCTCCAAGGCTTCAGCCCACCTGTGAGTAAGGTATACAAGAAGATCGCCAGCTGAGCAACCACGACGGAAACCGTACTGTCAGTCACTTATCGATCCTCAAGCTAGCGATCCTCGAGATACTTCAGGAGTTGCGTGTCTATTATTCACTCAATCACCTTGGAAAGCAAGGAAGTTATCGCGATAGGCCTATAACTCGATGGGTCTGATCGGTCATCCTTCTTGGGGATATGGTGGACATGGGCAGTCTTCCATGAAGACGCAACCTTGTTAGTACTACATAGGATATTGGACGAAAACGCGAATAGTGCCAACAATATTTTCAAGATTGCTATTCACAAGTCCCGAAAATATTCCCAAAAGAGTACGTACTGATATCAATGCACACAAACTAATACTTCGTTGACATTGTAACATCCCAAATTCGTGAACGGAATGACCGTTACATAAAACAAATTTAATAATAAAAAAAACACCACTAAACCTTGACCGACGCGTGTCGCTGCACCGATTATGAGCTCGCTCAACTATAACCGCGAACTGTTAGCACTCATCTCCTTGACAAGCCATCCTTGCTCGCTAATTCCGAACCAAATCTATATAAGCCTAGTCGATTCCATGTATGTCAGTGTCGCAACCTAGATCGTTCGTGCAAGACACGGTAAAAAATTAGGGCAATATGCAAAAGAAATTATGTTTCGCGTTGTCATTCGGCGTCTGGTGGTTGGCTGAGTCAGCGCCCGCCGGCCTCGGCGAGATCGGGTTCGACAAACTTGACACCGACATTGCAAACCTACGCTACGACGAAGACATAGATAGCTTCTCGAAATTACTGGACGAAACCGATAGTGCCATTAACAAAGACGCTAAAAGTAATTTGAACACATCGGGTTTCAAGAAGAAAACAACAGCCAATAAAGGACTGGAAAGTAGGGATGGCGATTCTTTCCAAAAAAGATCGATTTTTAAATCGATTCGAATCGTAACCTGATAAATCGATTCATAAAAAAATCGATTTCGAAAAAATCGATTTCTAAAAAATCGATTTTTTCAAATTTGTATTTACAATGTAAATATAAATCCATTTTATGAAAAACAAAAATGATACCATAATAAACACAATCTCTGGGATCTCTTATCAGTAAAATCAGGAATTTATTAGTTCAGGGAATTCGATAATTACAATTATTTTTATTACCATATCAGATCAGATATAAAAGAACACATTTATTTTCTAAATGTATCTGTTACATTAAAAAGTGAAGAGAGTAGATAACAATAGCTTATAGTTCCCAATGCTTCATATCTAAGCTTTTTAAAAACAACAATTTGTCAAGTCTAATGGGATCCAAGCGGTTCCGCTCATCACTTGCGATGTTGCCGGCAATCGAAAAAAGGCGCTCACAGGGAACAGATGATCCTACGNAACAATAGCTTATAGTTCCCAATGCTTCATATCTAAGCTTTTTAAAAACAACAATTTGTCAAGTCTAATGGGATCCAAGCGGTTCCGCTCATCACTTGCGATGTTGCCGGCAATCGAAAAAAGGCGCTCACAGGGAACAGATGATCCTACGATACTCATATACATCACGGCTATTGAGTGAACATGGTGATAAATAGAGTTTTTTTTGTTCTTGCCAATAAAGTATAGGATCATACTTTAGGTGCCTGTGATAAATAGTATTTAAACTCTTCGTTTAAGCCTTGACTTTCCAGTGCAAGTGTATTACATGTAGAGAGTTGCTTTTTGACAAGCAACTTATGAAAATCCCAAATTCCTTTTTCTAAATCAGTCCCTTCTATTGCGTCGAGTTCTTCACTATTATTTTGTAGAAGGTGTTTTTTACTAAAGAGAAGCGACGAAAACTAAACATACCGCCATCTCGCGAGTTTTTAAGTAATTAAACATTTAACTGGCAATGCCGTAATATTGTGAGTACATTCAGCTAATTCTAAATATTATTTTTTTTTACCAAAACAGAAAAAATCGAAAGTCGATTTTCAAGGGTAAAATATCGATTCACTGAATCGATTCAGTACGACATATCGATTTAAAAAATCGATTTATTTTGTCCGAGAAATCGATTCTTCGATTAATCGATTTGAGATCGCCATCCCTACTGGAAAGCGCACACGACATTGGTGATTTGAAAAAATTCTACAAAGCAGTCGGTGCTATCGATAAAGGTGATTATGAAAATGACGATATATACGGTACAGCTCAAGGACTTGCCGGCAAAAGTGTTGGTATAAAAGGGAACGAGGAAAGGAAATACCGGAAAGGTACTAAAACGCGCGGATTCCATAGAATTCATCACAAGGACGAATTTAAAAAAGATAAACTATTTTACGAAGATGACGAGACAAAGGGAACGATCAGTAAGGTAGGGGCAAAGGGACTCGGTGTGAAGGTGACTGCAGGAACTGGATTCGACAAAGGGCATTTCCAACGCGATCACAAAAAAGGAATATACGGCAAACAAGGTTTTCTGGATCAGGGATATTTAGACAAAGAGTTTAGTGGTTATTCAGACAGTCAAGGTTTCGATGGATCTTTTAATAGTGAAATTTAATATTATGTCTTAATTTTATAGTTTTTTCGTTTTTAATTTCGAAAATATTAAATTTTAGAGAAATATTTACTCAACATTTAAACATTACTCTGATATTGATAATTTCATTTGTGTATTTACAATATCAATAAAAGTATTAAATCATAAAATTATTTCAATTTTTTTTGCAATTTAACCATGGTCCAACTGAAGTTAGTGTTGCTCATGGACAACAGTAAGTAGCAGCAGAGATTCAAGTAATAGTGCGTTTAGATCTTGTGACGTAAACTTCTTTAAGTAAACAAACAGATAATTTAAAAATAAATAAAAAATTACTTGGTTATGGATATTTTGAGGTAAGTATTCTGAGGTAAGTTCTTTTTTTTTCTTTTTTCCCTACCCATGCTGATAGCCTTGAGAGGCTATTTCAGCTTCACTCTGGCATGTAGGTGAGCTCACGGGGCTTAAGCCGGAGTGTTGCTAACTCTGGCCCTAGCAAGAGCAGTAGTTCGCGGAATCTACCACCGGATCGGAAACGCGGCCCACTGGTGAGGTAAGTAAGAATGTTCCTACACTTTATTACCTATAATAGACAGGCTGTGGTGTTCTTAAAAAATATTTTTTGTATAGAAAAGTAATTCTTGCATAGCTAACCATAAAAATGTCCAGCGCTTTTAAAAAATAAATTAATTAAAACTTTGCTTTAAACATTGCTACTACCACATTAACATGCTACTAATTAAACACTGCTAAGACAACTAAAGTGAATTTCTGTAAAACAAAAAAGATAATATTACAATATTATTATTATATTAGGTGCTATTTATTAGATTGGGTACGAGCGGTAGGCAGCGGCTTGGCTCTGCCCCTGGCATTGCTGAAGTCCATGGGCGACGGTAACCACTCACCATCAGGTGGGCAGTATGCTCGTTTGCCCACAAGGGCAATAAAAAAGAAAACTTTTGCTTACAGTGAGAAAAAAGCAATGTTGTTAGATGTCGTGGCCTATATAGGTCTATGGTCGTGGCTTAAAGGATAAGACGTCCGGCGCATTCGTATCGAGCGATGCAACGGTGTTCGGATCTCGCAGGCAAATACCAATATTTCTAATGAAATACGTATATTTAAGAAATGTTCACGATTGCCTTCCACGGTGAAGGAATACTGGTGGTAGGACCTCTTGTGAGTCCGCACCGGTATGTACCATCACCTTGCCTATTTCTGCCGTGAAGCAGTAATGTGTTTCGGTTTGAAGGGTGAGGCAGCAGACCTTACAACTTATATCTTAAGGTGGGTGGCACATTTTGTAGATGTCTATGGGCCAGTAACCACTTAGCACCAGGTGGGCTGTGAGCTGGTCCATTCATCCAACAATAAAAAAAAACCACTTTAATTTACTCCCTTTCAGTGGACACCTTTTAATACGCTGAGATGGTCCCCCTTACTTCTATCCTTCATGTTTTTATGCCACTCGTGGGTAGAAATGTGTTGGTGCTTTAATACTCTAGGCTGAAATCGCAGAGCCGGTGAACAGAAATTGAAAAATTATTGAAGTGAAACTTCTTTAGGCGCATGAGGGTAAAATTTTTACAGATGTAACGTCACGCAGGTATGCAACGGAAGTATCGAAAAAGAGAGAGAGAGAGCGATCGAGACCGATTGAGAGAGAGTAAGACAGGGCGAACGTAGCATGAAGCAACTAGCCATGGAGTGAGAGTAGGGAGCAAGCAAGTGAGAAAGATCGAGAAAAAAGTGAGACAGAATGCTCAGTTCCTACATACTATAAAAAATACGTATAAAGAATTTTATTTTTAATACAGCGCCATCTGTGAGATATTTTAATACTAACGTGTGTATGAAGCCTTTTGTAGTGAATTTTAATTTAGGATATACGTGAAGTTAAAATATCAATTCACAGAGGGCGCTACCTCATACTATAAAAGGTGATTTACAATTATTTACTAATGACAAATTTTTACTAATAATATACTTAGACATTTAGGATAATTGTATTTTAATTTTTGAAGGTTTCACTTCTAACACGTGTGAATTGCACACATGTTATTTTTATTTATTTAAAAAAACAACTACATTAAAAATATTAACTAAAAATCGGATGATTTAAAAGTACGAGTACTATAATATAAATATTCCTAGAATGTTAGTAAAAGTATTATGTCTACGTTTTGTTTTTTAGTTAGTATTTTAATGTCGTCAGGTTTTTGGTAAAGCTCTTTATTTAGTATCTATAGATAGTTTTTTTAGATTAGTTAGTCGATTTAATCGAATTTTAACTTTGCCTGTGGCTTTGACAATTTATAACTGTCATTTTGTCATAGTCCTCGTTTAACTCTGTAGTCTCTGATTAAGCACAACTGACTGACTGCTGATTGAGTGATTAAAGTAGTGTTTGTCAAGTGTAAATGATTGTGAAACAAAGAAATTTAGACGAAAATAAATGAGGCTCGGTAAAACTACGACGTTTAACATTACTCATGAGTACGGAAGAGACTCTGTTGAATCTCGATTTCGACAAACCAAACACAACAACAGCACCGCCCGATGACGGAGTGGTCTCGTTATCCAGTAGTTCAGAAGAGATTTGTTTAGTGCCAGAGGTCGAGTTCGAGGGCAATCTGGATTCTCCAGGAGTGAACCGCGAGTCGCAGCCGCTGCTTGGCGGCCGCGGCGACTTCGAAGTATCCTTCAATTACTTCCCAGGTATGGAAATTCGAAACCATGTAGACGAACACTAATAGAACTAATTGGCTACTTGAGACGACGTTATCGCGCAAAAAACATGATCGGCCAGATAATTTATAAAAAATAATCTTGAAAACTTATTAAATAATACTTTTTTATATTTAAAATTAAAATACAAGCCTCACACGTTGACATTGTTTGCTTAACAAACGTTCGGTACGCATTTATACGCACATTTGCACGTTTCCGATACAAATTCACGCACAGCGTGTTATTTTTAAACATGCTAACTTCAGTATGTTTTTAATTCTGAAAGTGAACTGCAACCATTCTGAATTTAGCTGTAGAATGTCAGTTTTCAGTGAACCGTTACGGTGCTATAAGTCGCTTTAAGGCTTTTGTTCAATGTATTTAAATATGGTGACCCCGTTTCAGTGCGGTGAGTAGTAAAAAAACATTCTCATAACTACATGTTTTCGTGTGTGTATTGAAATCTGTAAATAGTTTCAAAAACAGCTGTAATTGACAAGCCATATGGTAGTTAAGTTAGTCTATAAGTAATAATAACATTCTTGTAGCTGCGTATAAAAAAAACATTGTTAGTTTGAGATTCTGAGTAGATTTGATTTGGCAATCAATCAATCCATTCTAAGGTCAGGTCTCGTTCTTAGATAATCTTTTTAAATGTTACAAATATTTTAGACATTTTTAGATTATGTGAAAGTTACTTCCTTACTTTTTCAAATCCTTAAGCTATATTTTACACATAAAGTTATACAGTAACAATGACTAGGATTTAGATTGCTTACTACTTAGAAGATTACAGTAATTAAATGCTAGACAGAAGAATAAGATTAGATAATTTTGTGAATGCTTATGACCTTACATTTTAAGGGTATCTGCACCTTGTTATTAGAGTTAGGGCCTATTGTAAGCTTACACAAGTAGGCACTACCATCTGGCCTGTTTCCACTTCAAAGCTTGTCTTAGGCAAAAGTCTGCTCCTGTATTGTAAAGATAAAATTGAGATCTTGTCCTCTTATTTCAAGGTTTTGTTGATTTTATTCCTGCTGTGATCTAGACAGAAAAATGACTTTTATAATTGAGCTAAATTATAATTGAGTTAAATAAGCAGATTGGCAATGGGATTCTTGTTTAATACCATACAATATTACAATAATGCATTACATGCTATGTCATATTATTCAGGAAAAAAAAAACTGAAAACAAGATATGCTAAGCCTCTACCAGCCATTTTTATCGAGAGACAAGTTTGATACTATTACAAACATGAATGAAATAATATTGGGTAAATAAATAAATAATCTAAAAATAACACCTGACTATTTAGCTGTTGCGTTAACAGAGACATAGATGTTGGGTGCTGATAAAATGAAACAAGTTGTAAAAATGTAAATTGGCTTACCCAATTCAAGGCTTTTTCTGTCATACTACTAAAACAACAAACAACACAATACACATTGTAGTTCGTTTCAGTTCCGTTTTGAGACTCGGAAATATATATATATATATATATATAGCTTAGCACTATAAAACATTGCTTTTTATAATTATTTATTTTTAACAAAGACAATGTTCATTATAAATGTAAGGTCAAAGTGCCCCCTTAGGCTTTAAAAAAATACAACAGATGATTTTTAATGTATAGATACTACATTAACTAGATTAAAAAGTATATAACAATTTGAAAATCTTACAAAAAATAGGAAAGTAGTTTCCACCACTATATGGTCGACAAATATTTAAAAAAACTGCACATTTATGTTACTAAAGGCTTTATTATTAAAGTATTTATGTCAAAGACACATGAAAATTTGCTAAGTCTAAGCAATAAAATGAAAATTATGTTTGACAAAAAATATTTCTTGTTAATCATATTTCCTTTTTTTTATTGTAACCACTGGCACACAAGCTAGATTGTCGATCTTAATTTGTTAAGCTTGTTTTAGATAATAATAAAAATTACAACAGATTAAATTATCAAAATTTTATTGATTGCATTGCAGCATTTTGTTGGTTCAAGGTGGATTTGTCACTCATTCACACACAACCTTTAATTTTCTATCCGAATGAGATCTTAGTTTAGTCTTAGATGTCTTAGTTTGATTCCTGGTCACGGTCAGTACCTATGTCAAAGGGTTTTGGCACCCAGGTATAGTATTAAGCGGTAACACCAAAATCATATAGCTGAATATGGTTATTCCTAAGCTGTTTTCAATTTATGAAAGTTGCATCCTATTTGCGAAACATTCAGAAATATTTAGCAGAGATATTAGTTTAATTTCTTTAAATTTGCAATATAAACAAGGCTTCAAGTAACATTAGCAATTTTTACAACAAAATTACTGATTCACAAGGAAAACACGTTTGTTGACGCATATACGAGAAAAATGGGTGGATCGAAGTTATCTACTTGTGCCTATTCTGAGTAAGAGTGATATCCCAAATGTCTCAACACCACACAGTCAATCAGCTTCGCTTTTTTTTTTCCCTACCTTAACTTGTAGGTGAGCTCACGGGGCTCATACCTGATGACGTTGCTAACCCGAACCCTAGCAAGAGCCGTGCTTCGCAGAATCTACCACCGGATCGGAAACGCGACCCACTCAGAAAATCCGGCGAGAAACTCAGTGGGCTGTGTCTGGGGGTTAATTTACTCGTTGAGCCCTTCGTCGCAAGCGACGGGTTCGACGAGAACGATGACCGGTGCTTGAGGTACCTAAAAGCACCTTTACTGGATCGGGAGGATCCGAAATGACGTGCTTGGGGTGATGTCGACTGCTTTCCATTCTATCCGCAGGATCGGGATCAGCTTTGCATTGCTGTTTGTCTCGTTGCAAAAGCTCTGATAGCAAGCATTGGACGACTACAACAGCCTCAATATAGAAATTCGTCTGTAAAACCCATTGTGTATTTTTAATATGGCACTGACAGTATTTACTGCTGGTAGGGCGTCCTTTGAGCCCGTAAAGGTATGTACCGCCGTTCTGCCTATTTCTGCCGCGAAGGCCGTAAGTTCGTTCATTGGTAGTCGCGTATTGAGATGAGACCATAGACTTCTAGTTGCAATAAAGTAGTGACATTTATAACCGGTAAAGCCAGTAATGGCACTATTATCCTAGGTGTTTCCGTAGGGACTTGTAGGGCAGTTTTTCTTCTTTTTATTGCGATAGCTGGACGAGCTCACAGCTCACCGGGTGTTAAGTAGTTACCAGAGATCATAGACGATCATCAACGTTAATACACGCCTTGAGATATGTGTTCTAAGTCTTAAATTTTACAGTACTATGATTTGAGTTTTGATGGAGCCTCCGTAATCAGGTGAATTTTCACGTATTTAGCAGAAATTGCTAAAGATTTTTTTTTAAAGTGCCTTATAAAAACTTTAACTTTAAAGAAATATAAAAATCAATACTAAATTCACAGCAACATAACTTTAAGTGGTTATTTATTAATGGTATTTTATTAAAAACGTTATAGGTACATGCGCGCGCTAAGACACGTCCGTTCAAGTCGATACCTAATACTAATACCTTTATAATCAAACTGCGCAAATAGTCGGTATTCCGACGCTCCGCACTTTATACGCATTAATAGAGAGTCGATATATCGGCGGCTCGCGCTCAAAGGGTCGAACGGTTAGCGATATCTGTTATTTCATAGAACGACGTGTAATGTATTCATTCACTGATTCATGATCTATATTCAGAGTACATACGACTCTAGAGATCGTTACATTGTCATTAATATATTTACGCCTCGAGTCATTATTGATATCAATGCTATGCCATCTATGGTTTTTACGTCACAAATGAATGTTTTATTATTGTTTCAAAAGTAGGGCTCAAACACGTTTTTGGCATAATTTTTATTTTACGATGCTTTATATGCGAGTTTATTTACTTGTTCTCACTAAATTGAACATGATGTGGAACAGGAATTTATCGATCGATAGGCATGTGATCCACTCAAACTACACGCGGCCAATACTATTGAAACGAAATATGTTCGTAATAAATGTCATAGGACGAGGAGGAAACGTTTTTATTCTACAACTGGGTCTAAAGAGGAGTGCGTGTGAAAGTTCTAGATTTTTTATTTTTTTATTGCTTAGATGGGCCTACAGCCCACCTGGTGTTAAGTGGTTACTCAAGCCCATAGACATCTACAAAGTAAATGCGCCACCCACCTTGAGATATAAGTTCTAAGGTATAGGTTGAGGTTCTCAGTATAGTTACAACGGCTGCCACAAATTACTACTTCACGGCAGAAATAGGCAGGGTGGTGTTACCTACCCGTGCGGACTCACAATAGGTCCTACCACCAGTAAATTACAGTATACAGTACAGCGACATTTAACCACCAGGATGCATGCAGGTGGTAGATTCTTTTTTTTTTTATTGCCCTTGTAGGCAGACGAGCATACGGCCCACCTGATGGTGAGTGGTTACCGTCGCCCATGGACCTCAGCAATGCCAGGGGCAGAGCCAGGCCGATGTCTACCGCTTAATACTCTCCACAAGCCTCTTTTAAAGAAGGACATGTCATAGCGCTCGGGAAACACCGTGGAGGGGAGGTCATTCCATAGCCGGATGGTACGTGGCAAAAAAGACCTCTGGAAACGCACTGTCGATGAACGCAGCGGTTCCAGATAATATGGATGAACTCTGCTCCGAAGGCGGGAAGTGCGAAGCACTGCTCTTGTTAGGGCTAGTGTTAGCAAATTCTCTCAGGTTGAGCCCGTGAGCTGACCCACCCGACCGGGCGTAGCTGGAATAGCCTTCTAAGCTACCAGCGTATAGGTAGGGGAAGTATTTACCCTCTTAAGATGTTGTCTTGTTTCAGATGACCCCCAGTTCAGCGAGCTGGTACTGCAGGCGGAGACGGCCATTGATAACGGCATCTTCCCGGAGAGGATATACCAAGGATCCAGTGGGTCGTACTTCGTAAAAAACGCGGGCGGGGTGAGGGATTTATAAATACTAGTGGTCCCCCGGTAGTCGAAATTCGACTATAATTAATTGTAACTATAAGCTTGCACACTATTATGATTCTATTGTCAAAGACTATTATACTTCTATAATCCCACATTTCACCAAGACTACACTATAGATGAATAATATTAAAAACAAACAATATTAATCTATTCTCAATTTGACTACAGACTATAAGCAATAGGAAAAGTTTGGCAATAAACAAATAGTGTGTGTGTGTGTCAAATACATGGTAGTGTGTAATGCTTTTTTTTAATTGATTTAATGTTTTGTCTATGCATAATTTAAAAAAATATTATCATTCTGCACTCCTTCTCTATATTCTCTATAAGTGTGGGAAATTTACTCTCCTCAGTCCGCGCAATTTCGTAAAAAGGGGTACAAAGTTTTTGCTTCACTAATACCTATATAGATATACAAAAATAAAATTTAATTTTATATTTTATCTTTATTCTCCAAGGGTTACGCGTAACTTGAAAATAATATTGCGTCATTTAACACACGGTATAAAAATGTATTGATCCAGGACGATTGCTTAAGTATCCTAGAAAGTCGAATAACCATCATCGTAACATAATACTGACGTTTTGCCTCCTACGCGTTAGATATCGGTTAAGCTGGCTTACGTAGATCTGTATGCGTGCACGTGTATGTATATATTGTATAGACATGTCGATCGATATTGGGAAAGTGAAACTTGATTCAATTATGCCTATGAAAAAAAATGCCTTATCGATTTGTGTTTTTATAGTGAAGTGTCTTTTGGGTTGGTAGGATCACGACCTGGCCTAAATCAATCGCCATCAAATCATACTAACGCGAAAAAGGATATCCATAACTCCTTATATTTGTCACATAGGCCTGTGGGCTGCTGCATAAAAAGGCTGACGTTGAGTAATTCCAAGATTTAAGATGCAGGGAGTTTTTGAACCGGATACTTCAAAACAACATTTGAAAAATTTATGCTTATTGTTTTTAGCGCTGTAGTTTCTGTCAGTTGACCTTTCTTTGCTTTACCTTGAGTGTGGTGCAAAAAAAAAAAACCTTAAAATAAATGACATAAGGACGGTTCTGAGTTACTGCAAATAAATTGAGAGAGACTACTAATCAAACTTCGCCTATTACCCTGCATGCATTCGCATAAATCGCGCACGTCAGATTATCGCGTGCAATCTAACAAACATTATAGTTTGGCGAATCTAGCACGATACACGGGATTGTTGGTAGAGCGTTAGTGGTAGGTAGGTAGTGATAGGATACCCTTAGGTAATGTGATCAGGTTAGTTTCGAAAAAAATCAATTCGCGTACGATTATGTCTCGTGTGTGGCGACTTTTCGATTGAATTTTTTCAGTATCTTCATCCGATGTCTTTATTTTTAGGAGGGTTTGTATCTAGCTTAAAAAAACATGTNCACGATACACGGGATTGTTGGTAGAGCGTTAGTGGTAGGTAGGTAGTGATAGGATACCCTTAGGTAATGTGATCAGGTTAGTTTCGAAAAAAATCAATTCGCGTACGATTATGTCTCGTGTGTGGCGACTTTTCGATTGAATTTTTTCAGTATCTTCATCCGATGTCTTTATTTTTAGGAGGGTTTGTATCTAGCTTAAAAAAACATGTACATCAATCGCGTTAGGTATTCTCGTTAAAATAAAACTAACATTGACCAATTAAAGTTAAGTTCTTGAGGTTTAAAATACTTTTCAGTCTGTGTCACAAGTGACGCGTTTGCTTAGGTAGGCATGGCAGAGAATTTGGTTTGTATTTCTTACATTATTAGACGTAGGCAGCTCGGACACGTGTCGCAAACTTGCAAGTGCTCGACCCTCTTCGGCGGAGCGAGTACGAAGTGCACTTTTGTCGTGTCGAGAGCTCACACTAACTGTCTGTCGCGGGGTTAAGAGAATTCCCGAGATTGATTCTCTTATTTGGTGTGACAGATACACGATTATTTCATAAGATTATTTTTTACTGGTGCTAGGACCGCTTGTGAGTCCGCACGGGTAGGTACCACCGCCCTGCCTATTTCTGCCGTGAAGCAGTAATGCGTTTCGGTTTGAAGGGCGGGGCAGCCGTTGTAACTATACTTGTGTCCTTAGAACTTATACCTCAATGTGGGTGGTGTAGATGTCTATGGGCTCCAGTAACCATTTAACACCAGGTGGACTGTGAGATCGTCCATCCATCTAAGCAATAAAAAAAGAGTACTCTGCAAACAGGTCTACAGCGCATAAAAATTAATGGAATTTTCCAGAAAATCATCGGCGTTTTCAAGCCGAAAGACGAAGAGCCCTACGGTCGTTTGAACCCCAAATGGATGAAATGGATGCACAAGCTTTGCTGCCCGTGTTGCTTCGGCCGCTCCTGTCTGATCCCGAACCAGGGGTACTTGTCCGAAGCCGGTGCGAGCCTCGTAGATTCCAAAATAGGACTTAAAGTCGTGCCTAAGACTAAGGTAAGGCTCACGATAGTACTTTGGTTATCCGAATCGATGATTTATTCATAGGTTTTGATTACGACAGAGTTAGTTAATGCCGCAATTCTGCCGTGAAGCAGTAATGCGTTTCGGTTTGAAGTGTGAGGCAGCCGTTGTAACTACATTGAAACTTTAGAACTCATGTCTCAAGGTGGGTGGCGCGTTTACGTTGTAGTACGGCTCCAGTAACCACTTAACACCAGGTGGGCTGTGAGCTCGTCCACCTACCTCAGCAACAAAAAAAAAAAAAAAACACGCCTTCAGCTCTAACACTAGGAGCAGGCTTAAGGACCCCGGTAACCGTAATCTCTTTGTCGAATTCGACGTGCAGCCTAACCCGTGCATCAGCTCGCTGAGTTTCTCACCGAATCTTCTCAGCGGGTCGCGATTCCGATCCGGTAGTAGATTCATTCGCGAAGCAACTGCTCTTGAGTTGTTAGGTCTTCTTTGGAGGCGCTCGGGCAGCTGTTAGCAAATCCCACACCTCTTGCTTGAACCTTTGCTCGCCCACCTGTCCAGATGAAACTGGAAAGGCCTCCGGGCCACCAGTTATACTTCAATCATAAAAAGTAAGTTAACATTAAAAAGATGACTGCCGAAATATATCTTGAGACATGAGGTCGTAGTCTCAATTGTACAGCGGCTGTCAACGATCGCAAGTCGGTCGCTAGGGCCCCGGTCAAGGGTGTCCCGAAATTTACATATACGATATTTTTATCTAAGGTTACCGGGGGGATTGCATCCCTGTGTGCTTAGTGCGAGTTTTTTAACTTTCTCGATAGCGTAAAAGTTAACTCAAAATTTTATGCAGTTGGAACAGCGCCGCTAGCGGCAAACGTATAAGCAAAAATTTTGAGTTAACTTTTACGCTATCGAGAACGTTAAAAAACTCGCACTAAGCACACCAGAGTACATATAGGTCAGTATAGAGCTATTTACGAAAAGTTCACTGCCCAACTACGTTTAAACCTTCAGATCAAGTATAAAAAATTTAGCATGCTAGTGTACTAAGGGTGTCTGTCGCGAATCTGTAAAGATTATTTAAGTTTGTCGCTGAGTATAAAGGTTGAGAACCGCTGGAATTGGACAAAGGTTGGCCCATCCTTTAAACTCGCACGAACATGTTTTGCGACAGAACTGGGCGGGACTTAATAATATTAAAGCTTTGTGTTGAATATCACGAGCCGACGTTCATATTTAGTAAATAAATTATTGTATACATGTATGTATATAGTAGTAAAATGTTATCTCACTACAAATGTTTAATTGTAATTTTAAATAGCTTTACGTAAACATCTGGTTTTGACCTTAAGCAATATTGGTTTGCATGCCATATCGTTTTAAGAGATACATTAATGAGCTTATCGAAGTTATCATAATTTTATTTAACTTTAGTTTTTTTTAATTAAAAATAATTATAATATAAGATATAGTGACCTTATTTTATGAATGTTGGTAACATTGATTTTGTTGATATTTGGGGCCTCTGACACAGGGGAGAACTCAAATCTAGCTTGCTTTTGAATGAAATAGGTTTTTTTTCATTTTGTACCACGATAACTCTAAAACATCCGAAAAGTCGGAAAACATTTAATAATAATAACATAAAAAATGCGAGTTTAATACGTTGAACGTCATATGAAAAATCAAATATTTTCATTGAAACCTCACCAGTGCTCACCGGTGAGCCTTATCTAACAGTACCATTCGGACCACGAGGGTCACCCGTGAGCCCTTTAAAATATCCAAACTAAAGACATGTAAAAGACGCTAACTTTTATCTTCCGTGCATATTATTGCATTTTATAACTTTTAGAATAATGATCACAAGCTGGTAAAGAAATTACCGATTCCCTGATTTTGACTTGGCTCGAATGGTTACGCTAGGCCCGACGGTATAGCGTAATACGTCTTAAACCGTAAAATATGTTTTAATCTTTTAGTATTTACACGCCCGCGTTGTATCGCCAAAATCTATCGTAACTATCGCCAAAAATATATAGAATGAAAAGAAAAAAAAACGATATTTTTATTAACTACTAAGATGTCCTGTTCCTTTAGTTAGGTCCGTAACCAATAGTGCCCTAAGCGCGTCATTACGGATCCTCCCGATCCATTAACAGTGCTTTTAGGTACCACAAGCACCGGTCATCGTCCTCGTCGAACCCGTCGTTTTCGACGAAGGGCTCGACGAGTAAATTAACCCATAGACACAGCCCGGATCTCGCCGGATCTTCTCAATTGGTCGCGCTTCCGATCCGGTGGTAGATTCGTGAAGTCGTCGTGGCCTAACGGATAAGACGTCCGGTGCATTCGTGTAGAGCGATGCACCGGTGTTCGAATCCCGCAGGCGGGTACCAATTTTTCTAATGGAATACGTACTCAACAAATGTTCACGATTGATTTCCACGGTGAAGGAATAACATCGTGTAATAAAAATCAAACCCGCAAAATTATAATTTGCGTAATTACTGGTGGTAGGACCTCTTGTGAGTCCGCACGGGTAGGTACCATCACCCTGCCTATTTCTGCCGTGAAGCAGTAATGCGTTTCGGTTTGAAGGGTGGGGCAGCCGTTGTAACTATAATTGAGACCTCAGAACTTATATCTCAAGGTGGGTGGCGCATTTACGTTGTAGATGTCTATGGGCTCCAGTAACCACTTAACATCAGGTGGGCTGTGAGCTCGTCCACTCATCTAAGCAATAAAAAAAAAATAAAAATAAAAGATTCTGCGAAGCACTGCTCTTGCTAGGGCCAGTGTTAGCAACACTCTCGGTTTGAGTCACATGAGCTCACCTACTAGTTCGGTGAAACTAGAATAACCCCTCGAGGCTACTAGAATAAGTAGGGGAAAAAAAAACTTTTTTTTTTTTCCTACCTAAGCTGAGAGCCTTGAGAGGCTATTTCAGCGTAACCCTAACGTTTGTAGATGAGCTCACGGGGCTCAAACCTGATGACGTTGCTAACACGAACCCTAGCAAGAGCCGTGCTTCGCAGAATCTACCACCGGATCGGAAACGCGACCCACTGAGAAGATCCGGCGAGAAACTCAGTGGGCTGTGTCTGAGAGAGGGAAAAAAACCAACAGTACCCTGAAACGCCAACGGCTCTGTACAATTTCAACTCGAACAAATAAATGACGTAAAAGTACATAGGAAACGAAGAACCAATCGATGAATACGAGCATCTATATATTAATACGTGAAGCAAAAACTTTGTATCCCTTTTTACGAAAACTGCGCGGATGGAGGAGTATGAAATTTTCCACACTTATCTCTATAAGTGTGGAAAATTTCATACATTCAATATAGAGAAGAAGTGCACAACGCTAATATTTTTTTAAAATAATGCATAAAAGCGACATTAAGTCAATAAAGAAAACATTACACACACTACATACCATGTATTTGATGCACACACGCATGCATACTATTTATTGTCAAACTTTTGTTCTTGACGTCTGTGGTCAAATTGAGAAATGGATTAAATATTGTTTGTCTTTATTAATATTTCTTTATAGTGTAGCCTTGGCGAAATTTGTGATTATAGAAGTATAAAGTACAATCATAATAGTGTACAAACTTACAATTCCAATTAATTATAGTCGAATTTCGACAAATGCGGGACCTCTAGTATACATAATTTATTGACTTTTGGCAGACGGAAGTCCCATTACATTGATAATAATATGAAAACACTAAATTAAAAAGTCTAATTATGTTGATTAATTTATAAATAGAATTTGTAATAAATTTGAAATACTGTGATGAATTTAATTTTTTTTATTTGCATTCAAAAGTCATTTAAGCATTGACAACATTAATTTATAAATCGCGAACACCCAAATTATGTTAGATATTTTATTGTGAAATAAGTTTTTATTTCTATTAACACTAATCATACCAACACTTACTGGTACCTATTTCTATCATATCGGGTAGATAACGGTATATGACAAGTATTACTCAAAATAAACAAAACAAAAATAGTATAATAACTGTAGATTAATTAGTAAGAAAAAGTCATGAAGTCAAATGTGCGAAAGCAATAAGAAATGATACGTATATTTTCAGTGCAAAAGTTCAAAGTGGGTCATTTGATCCGTTATGGTATGTTTGGTGTTAAACAACGCTGATCGTATATATTCTGTGACGATAGCCATCATAGTTACATCCATACATAGATAGCCATCATACAAGACGTTTTTTTTTTTTCATTTCATATTTATTTTAATTATTGTAAAAGTTATACATAAGTTGATTTCAATATAATTATTGTGAAATGAAGTGACGAAGAAACAAAAATACTGATTTGGCTAAAAGGACATAGTTCCCAAAACAGGAAAACCTATTAAAAAAAAAAAGATATTTGACAGATGCCTGAATCTCGCTAACGACATTTTCAAAATAAGCTTACATTTAAACAAGTTCCGAACTACAAAAGTAAGACCGTCGGTGTCACGAGCAATTTGCCCCGCTCGGTGGAAGATCTTCCCTTTGTCGTTAATCCCTAGAAACCTAAATCAAGGATACAACTAAAAAAGGGACATCTACTGAGTTTCTCGTCGGATCCTCTCAGTGGATCGCGATTGCTAGGGCTAGTGTTTGCAAATTCTTTCAGGTTGAGCCCGTGAGCTCACATACGCGTGCGGGTGTAGCTGGAATAGCCCTTTAAGCTACCAGCAACTAAACAATAAAAAATCCAGCGATATAAATAATAATAAAACTGTGTCTCTTTTCTTTTCCAGGTAGTAAAATTAGTATCGGAAACGTTTAACTATCTGCGCATAGACCGAGAGAGGTCGCGTCTGAAGCGGGCCATCACCGAGCAATTCCCGAACTTGCGGTTCAACAGGATGGGGCTGCCTCCTAAGGTATGTACGTACTGGCCGCGCCCCGGACATAGGGCGAATCTATATTGCGAAAAAAAAAAAATCATAACTTCATATACTAGATAGTATAATGGCGGACTTAATGCCATAGGCATTCTCTAACAGTCTACCTTAGGGGAGTGCAGAGATGAAGCTTGGTAGGTATAGTGTGAAGTAGATATTACTTAAACATATGTGTATATATAACATACATAATATTTATAGATACAAATACTCGTACTTAAATAAATACATATAGATAAATATATACATATATAAACAAATATTATCAATTATATGAGTCTGCTAACTCTCTGCTGCTCTCTCTCTCTCTCTCTTTCTAAAAATTAGTGGCACGAAATTAATTTCGTGACATTAGTTTTACCAACAGTTTCACGTGAAATTTTTGTAATTAGTGTCATGCAACTAATTTCATAGTGTAGACGCGACGTGAACTAGTGTCGCGAAAGCACCTCCGCTTTCATATCAGCGACAAGAGTGCCTTTGAGATCCGAAACACTTACAGTAACAAATAAAAATTATCTTCACTTATTCGAAAATAGTTTTTATAGCTCTCAGGATCTTCATCTGCTAATTCAGAGAGTTAGTCTCTGAATTAGCAGATTTATATGATTTCAAAATAATTAGACAGAATTTTGCGTAGTTATGTGGACGATCACACAGCCCACCTGGTGTTAAGTGGTTACTGGAGCCCATAGACATCTACAACGTAAATGCCGCCACCCACCATGAGATATGAGTTCTAAAATATAGTTGCTACGGCTGCCCCACCCTTAAAATCGAAACCCATTATACTACTTCACGGCAGAAATAGGCGAAGGCGGTGGTACCTACCTATGCGGACTCACAAGAGGTTCTAAAAACTGTAAATACATCTTACTTTCAGAAAGGCTCGTTCCAGTTATTCGTGGAGGGCTACAAGGACGCGGACTATTGGCTCAGGAGGTTCGAGCAGGAGCCCCCGCCGCCGCACGTCATGAAGAAGTTGGTACATGTGTCCTTATATATTCGGTACTGCTCTAGTCAAGGGAAACCGTAACGGCCTTTAGACCGCGCCCCCCAACCCGCCCCCCAGTCCGCGGGGACGGGGTTAGCCTCGCAAAGCTACCGACTATTAGTCAGGAGACGATATCAGACAGGTTTAATGGACATTCGCTTAATACGCAATATGTATCGTTGTAATTTAAATAAAATTATAATTTGAGTAATGCTAGTGGTAGAACCTCTTGTGAGTCCGCGCGGGTAGGTACCACCGCCCCGCCTATTTCTGCCGTGAAGCAGTGATGCGTTTCGGTTTGAAGAGTGGGGCAGCCGTTGTAACTATACTTGAGACCTCAGAACTTATATCTCAAGGTGGGTGGCGCATTTACGTTGTAGATGTCAATGGGTTCCGTTAATCACATAACACCAGGTGGGCATGATATCAGTAGTTATAAATATTTTATGAACAGATATGAGTAGAAGGGTTATTTTGATGATACCTTTAAAAGCACCACACGCTTTTTTTACAATAAAATCATTATTTCTTACACTATTTTTAATTTCAAATTTATTTTATATTTTTTAGTTTGATTTTCTATAAAAGCGGTTTTTTTTGTTTTTTTTTTAAACTAATATTTATATTTGCTATGTTCGTGCTTTTTTTTTACCTAAGCTGATAGCCTTGAGAGGCTATATCAACGGAACCTTAACTAGTAGGTGAGCTCGAGGGGCTCAAACCCGACGACATTGCTAACACGGACCCTAGCAAGAGCCGTGCTTCGCAGAATCTACCACCGGATCGGAAACGCGACCCACTGAGAAGATCCGGCGAGAAACTCATTAGGTTGTGTCTGTGGGTTAATTTACTCGCCGAGCCCTTCGTCGCAAGCGATGGGTTCGACGAAAACGATGACCGGTGCTTGATGTACCTAGAAGCACCGTTAGTGGATCGGGTGTATCCGATATGACGTGGATGTTCGTGCCTAACAATAACACATCGATAATATTGACACGTTGCGCCCAACCCTATCCGGTTCCAGGTTCCAGCTGCAGTTCGAGCGGCTCGTGGTGCTGGACTACATCATCCGGAACACGGACCGCGGCAACGACAACTGGCTCATCAAGTACGAGGCGCCGCCCGGCCCGCGCGCCGACGCCGACCTGCGGGACCCCTCGGTCGGTTCATATCGTACACTCACTGTCTATCACTTCACTAATTGTTTGACGGGTGAATGAATGAGATGAACGAATGACGCGGTGAGTGAATGGAACGAACTATTAGTGTCGATGAGTGAATGAAAAAAATAAAATGTTTTTTTTTGAAGTGAAACTTCTAATGCGACTTCCAACAAGGTTGCGTTAAACGTTTAACGCTCCTGGGGAGGGGGAATAGAAAGAGACAGAGCGAGATTGAATACGTGGCATTTGAACGGATGTGTAGTATACCTGTTACAAAGCGAGCCTTAGCAACGAGTAGCGGCCAATATTCTAATGAAGTATTTAAATAAATATTTTTTTTCTTACTATAATTTAAAATATGTATATATGACAAATGTTGAAAATGTCGCATTTCTTATACACAGCATTCCCTATTACAAGAGCTATCTGATTTAAAGGTGAAAAATGAAGAAAACCACAATACTATACATCGGAAAAGAAGTTTCACTTCATTCACGTGCACCAAATTGCACGCGCACGGTTTTTTCCAAATAAGTTGTACAGAGGAATGAGTAACGTGAATGGAATGAATGATGATTTAAGAATGTTATTTAGAAATTAGAAGAATTAATATATATAATAATAATAAGCCTTTATTGCTGTTAGAGTTCAACTTATTTAATTAAACATAAAATGATAACGATAGAGGTAAGAAAACTATACAATTAATTTAAACTAAAAGATATCTCGTTATTCGAGATATCTCTTCTCTTAACAGATTGTCTTTTGGCAAATACCTTCCCTAATGAAGAAGAATGAAATGAATGAAGTTTTAAATGAATTTATCATATATTATAAGTAATGACTATGGAGTGAATGAAGTTTTAAGAAGGTTTTTTAGAAGTTATAAGAATGAAATGAATGACGTTTTTACTGAAAAGTATTGACTAGTAAAATTAGGGCATCAGCCGATGGGTTGACGGTAGTGTTGTCGGTTGCAGGAGTGGTCGGGCGGGTGGGAGGTGCGCATCGCGGCCATCGACAACGGGCTCGCGTTCCCGTTCAAGCACCCGGACTCGTGGCGCGCCTACCCCTACCACTGGGCCTGGCTGCCGCACGCCAAGCTGCCCTTCAGCGACGAGACCAAGTGCGTACTGCGGGGACCTCGTGGGCCCTCATCAATACCTCAACTATCTACCCCCTTTGTGCGGAAACTGCGCGGACTGAGGACTATAAAATTTCCCACACTTTTGGAAAATTTTCCACACTTTTGGAAAATTTTCCACACTTTAGGGAAATTTTCCCACATTTTAGGGAAATTTTACAAACTAGGGAATATAGAGAAAAAGAAAATACATGAAATCAATTTTAAAAAAAACATTACACACACTACCATGTATTTGACACACACACACTCATGCATACTATTTGTTTATTGACAAAATTTTCTTATTGCTTATAGTCTGTGGTTAAATTGAGAATAGATTAAATATACTGTTTGTCTTTATTAATATTTGTTTAAAGTGTAGTCTTGGCGATATCTGTGATTATAGGAAGTATAATAGTATTTGACGATAGAAACATAATAATGAGTGAATGAATGAATGATGAATGATTTATTATATTTCAAACCACAATAAGTCCATATGTGTACATAGTATCATTGAAACATACTTAAAATTAACAAAACCAATCAAATAAAAAAGATAAAATAATTATCAGTTTAATACATTTCAAATATTCCATTCCACTGATACTTAATTAATTATAGTCGAATTTCGACTACTGAGGGACCGCTAGTGCAACAAATCTGTGAAGTTGTGTCGCCGTCTTGTCGTGCTATCCTGCTCGCACTCCTCTAAACAATAGCACGCGCGAACGAGACAGAACATGTTTAGTTCGGTTCTCGCGCTGTAAACATCCTCAATTTCTAGAATTCCATATAGTTTGCCCTAATAAATAAAAATGACCATTTTAGTAGATGTAATGTCCCTTTTTGTATCGCATTTTGTCGGCGGTTCGTGACGTCACAGTACTGCCCCGAACAGTGACGTAAGCAACCCAGTGAATGTTGTTCTCCTGTTTCAGGCAACTAGTACTTCCGCTGTTATCCGACATGAACTTCGTTCAGGAACTGTGCGACGAACTACATTTGTTGTTTAAAGTGAGTATTACTCATGTAATGTGTATTTGTGTAGTGGACATAAGATAGCTGATAGCTGCCCGAATCGCGACATTTTCAAGATAAGTTTCCTTATATACAAGTATATGTTTGAGTATTTATATTCATTCCCGATTCTGCGGACAGAATGGAAAGCACTCGACGTCGCTCAAAACACGTCATCTCGGATCCTCCCGATCCACTAACGGTGCTTCTAGGTACCACAAGCACCGGTCACCGTTCTCGTCGAACCCGTCGCTTGCGACGAAGGGCTCGACGAGTAAATTAACCCTCAGACACAGCCCATTGAGTTTCTCGCCGGATCTTCTCAGTGGGTCGCGTTTCCGATCCGGTGGTAGATTCTGCGAAGCACGGCTCTTGCTAGGGCCAGTGTTAGTAAATAGGTTAAACTCCGTGTGCTCACCTATTCGCTCGACGGATTTAGCATAACCCCTCGAGGTCACTAGAATAGGTAAAAAAAATGGATGTTGAGACATGAGGTCCAAGTTTCAATTGTTTCGTAAAACAGTTGCTTCATCATTAGTTTTATGGTTAACTACATTACTCCAATAACAAGAGGCTTTAGCTTGGGGTGTCCAAACGTTGTGACATCTTTGGACTTGGGAACCCCTTCAAAAGAGCCCAGAGGACCTTCTGGGACCGGATAAGATCAGTTGTATTGTGTCGATGACTGATGGTGATGATAAGACAGTTTGTCGTGTCCCTCCGCAGCAAGACAAGGGCTTCGACAAGGGTCTGTTCGAGCGGCAGATGTCTGTGATGCGCGGGCAGGTGCTCAACCTCACGCAGGCCCTCAAGGACGGCAAGAGTCCCGTGCAGCTGGTGCAGATGCCGTGCGTGCTCGTCGAGAGGTAACCCACACCCACCCCTGTGTGCAGGGCGAGCTATTTAACGCTCTCGATAGCGTAAACGTTACTTGGCGGTAGAACGTTTAATGAGTTTTTTTTATTGCCCTTGTAGGCAAACGAGCATACGACCTACCTGGTGGAGAGTGGTTACCGTCGCCCATGGACTTCAGCAATGCCAGGGGTAAAGCCAAGCTGCTGCCTACCGCTAAGTACCCTCCACAAGCCTCTTTGAAGAAGGACATGTCATAGTGCTCGGGAAACACCGTGAAGGGGTAGCGCGGGTAGGTATCACCACCCTGCCTGTTTTTGCCGTGAAGCAGTAATGCGTTTCGGTTTAAAGGGCGGAACAGCTGTGGTAACTGTACTGAGAACTTAGAACTCATATCTCAAGGTGGGTGGCACATTTACGTTGTAGATGTCTATGGGCTCCGGTAACCACTTAACACCAGGTGCGCTGTGAGCTCGTGAACCTATCTAAGCCTGTATCTAAGCATCTACGTTTGCGGCTAGGGTCGTTGTACCAACTGCATACAAATTTAATATGAGTTAACTTTTACGGTATCGAGAACGTTAAAAAACTCGCTCTAAACACACTGACGGCATCTAGTGACGCGCGGCGGATATGGACATGGACAATAACACTTGTCGCACGAGGTTGACGACCTCACTCCTATCGTTTCTTGCTCGTATCTTATTGATTTATTTAAAACATAATTGTAACTAACACTCCCTAACTCGCATAATTGCTTAATGTCCATCGTGGCCTAAAGGATAAGACGTCCGGTGCGTTCGTGTGTAGCGATGCACCGGTGTTCGAATCCCGCAGGCGGGTACCAATTTTTCTAATGAAATACGTACTCAACGAATGTTCACGATTGACTTCCACGGTGAAGGAATAACATCGTGCAATAAAAATGAAACCCGCAAAATTATAATTTGCGTAATTACTGGTGGTAGGACCTCTTGTGAGTCAGCACGGGTAGGTACCATCGCCCTGCCTATTTCTGTCGTGAAGAAGCAATGCGTTTCGGATTGAAGGGTGGGGCAGCCGTTGTAACTATACTAACCTTAGAACTTATATCTCAACGTGGATGGCGCATTTACGTTGTAGATGTCTATGGGCTCCGGTAACCACTTAACACCAGGTGTGCTGTGAGCTCGCCCACCCATCTGAGCAATAAAAAAAAATCGATTGACTCTGTGGTGCAGTAATTAGCAGCCGTGACTGAGGGACGTGGGTTCGATTCCCACGTCGGGCAAACGTTCGCGTGATGAACGGGTCTGTTTGCTTTTCGTCTGGATTGTTATTATCTGTATGTAAAAAATAATCTTACATGAACAATTGCGTAATTGCTCCCCTAAATGAGGGAGATGTGAAGAAATACCTTTATCATTTAAAACCTTTACAACTTTAATTTTTTTTAAATATTTTTCATACTCCCTCATACACCTGTCTGTTATTCAGTAAAAATAGAGTTCAGTTTTGTTTAATAATAATGTTTAAAATAATAATTTTAATAGAGACTAAGGGCTTTAAATATTGTTTTCTTATTATATCACGGAAAACGCAATTAAGTATTTTATTGTTTATTCAATCTGAAGTACTCCATATCACTAAATATATATGTATATATTTAAAGGTATATAATTATGTACCTATTACAGTTTCTTTGTGTTGTCTCTTGCTTGTTCCGAGTTATTTACTTACATAAACGGCCGTCTGGTGTAGTGGTAAGTGACATGGTCACTACACAAGGGGGTCGCGGGTTCGAATCCCGCCAAGGGAAGATATTTGTATGATAAATATAAATGTCTTTTCCAGGGTTATGGATGTATATTAAACATAATAATATATGTATGTGTATAATAAAAATCTTACATTTATATCCGTTATCTGGTACCTGTAACACAAGTTCTTTACGAACTTAGCACGGGACCAGTTAACGTGGCGTGATTGTTAGTAAATATTTATATATTATTATTTATTTATATTTATTTAAAATCTTATTAATTACATAATATTTTTTAAAAAAGATATTAAAAATACAATTTTTTTAAAAACACTATATAAAAATAGATTGCCGCTGATGGCGGTATCTACGACACAAGCCACCAGTGGTTAGGACTCCAGAGTGAGAAACCTCCTCACAATGCGTGCAGTATCGAGGATAGCTGCTTTCTGTATTAGGCCCTTAACCCAGCTGGATAACGAAAGTTTCTTAAGATGTTGATCGAAACTTTTCGCTATCAAGCCGTGTACCGATACAACTATTGGAACAATGATGGTTGAATCAACATGCCACATGGCGGTAGTCTCGTTGGCCAGGTCTAAATATTTTATTAATTTGTCCTTTTCTGCCTTCACGAGGTTCTCGTCATGAGGAATGGTGACATCAACCAACACTGCTCGACGCGCAGATTGATCTATTATCACAATGTCAGGTTTATTGGCTACAATATACCTATCCGTGATAATAGATCGGTCCCAGTAGAGCGTAACATGACCATTATCAAGAACTGGTTGAGGTTGGTATTGGTAATAAGGTACAGCAGAATCAAGAAAACCATATTTCAGAGCAAGTAGTTGATGGATAATCCTAGCCACTTGGTTATGTCTATGCAAGTACTCGCCGTTAGCAAACCGAGAACAGCCAGAAACAATATGTCTAATAGACTCTCCCGGACGGTGGCATGCCCGACAAATGTCGACCGTCCCATCCTTTAGTATATATTTCCGGTAGTTGTTCGTCATGATAACTTCGTCCATAATTGCAAAGATAATATAATATAATATTATTATTATTATTATATTTATATATACGGCAACCCTTTATAAATTTACTAAGTTATATTAAATAAACAAATACAAATAATGAAGACAATAGAAAATGTCCATTACTGAGAGCGGTCTCGTGGAATGTTCCAGATCAAAAGGCGGCTCCACCTCGTCTCGCTTCTTCGACTCATTCCAGCAGAGGTTCCAGCAGAAGTCGCCCTTCTTCTCGTGGTGGTGAAGGACCTCACGGTGAGCAACGGCTTCCGATGCGTTAAACTAACAAAACGTGATTCCTATTTCTGCCGTGAAGCAGTAATGCATTTCGGTTTGAAGGGTGGGACAGCCGTAACTATACTGAGACCTCAGAACTTATATCTCAAGGTGGGTGGCGCATTTACGTTGTAGATGTCTATGGACTGCAGGAACCACTTAACACCAGGTGGGCTGTGAGCTCGTCCACACATCTATGCAATAAAAAAAGTTCTGCCTCAAAGTCTACCAATATGAGACTTCGGCATCATGTCTTGAGACATTCAAAGACAGGACATTTCGAAAAAAATATACACGTGTGCAATTTACATATGGTAGATGTGAAACCTTAAAAAAATTTGGCTTCAAGATCATGTAAGAGACGAATGTAAAATTTCGGGAAGAGCGTAGTTTGTAGATTTTAGTAATGATCATAGTGATACAAAGTTTGATGATCATTATTTTACATAGACTTATTCAGAATATATTAAGTACGATTATTATTATAGTTACGAAGCAGAACACAAAAATAACCACGAGAATATAAGAAACACTGTATAATGCTACCTATCTCATTTCCTCCTACGTTAAATGTTATAAATATATATTTCTGTCTCTTTTTACTGTCGCTTTTTCGTTTCATCGACTTTAGAATCACAACGATGCTAAAGAAGTTTTAATTTTAATGTGAATATCCGACCTTTCAGTTCTGAGCGTGTTCCCCATTAGCCTATAAAGCTTGCGATCAGTATATCAAAAAAAAAAATATTTTTTATTTTGCATTTCAGATCATCTTGTTAAAATATGGTGATAGTTCCACACGACGCTGATGTAATAGTGAACCACATTTTATATTTAATATGTCGTAGGATTAGTGTTATGTTTTAATAAATTAAATCGACGGGTGAAAGATTATTAATGGCTTAAGCGACATTTTTGCAAATTTACAGGAGAGCTATTTAAAGTTTGAATTTTGGATAAAATATCATAACAAAAAAAAAGCTTCTTTGGCTATTTGAAACTTAATTTAAGTTCAATTAAAAATATCGAACTGTCGATGCTAATACCAAATAAAACGGACCTTTAATTACAAAGATAAATAAATGTCGGTTAAAACCACAATAGCATTTCACCTCTCGATACAATGCCGGGGACGATTGTGACGTTTTGTGTTCAAACGTATATATATATATATATATATATATATATATACACATATATATACTTGAAAACGTAAGATGCGTTTGTTCGCGTGTTCGAACACCAATTAGTACTGGCGCTACATTTTGCCGATTTTAAATCGAAAAATACCTTTGCCGAAATTAATCAAATCAAAAAAAAATAATTCAACATAAATATAAGTACATACTTGTTGAACGTCAAAAAGAACTACTATAATTTAATTTTAAAAAACTAACAACAACGCTTAGAGGTCAAGAAATGAGAGCTAAGTTATAAAATGATTGTATTATCATCGGTCCTTGATGCAAATTTTCAAGTTAAATGGACGACTTGAATTCGATAAGAAATGATATTCGAGGAATTTGACGCTACATATAAAGCTTGTGTAAAGATTACTTGGAATATTCCGAAAATGCGTGCCCAGTACTCTCACGTATAAGCCTTGAGGTATAAATGCGTGTGGTGGTGGCGCTGGTGCACCCACCAGCCGCAACCCACATGGTTCTAATGTGGCCACTTTGTACTGATACTTCCAAGGACATATACAGTCATTAATATACTGATTGAGGTATGTTAGTAGTGATATACATTTTCCTTGGCTATCGAACTTTGAAACCACAATGTTAAGCTCTAATAAAACTAATAAATTAATTAATAGGTTATAAAAAAAAAACACATTGAATTTAAGAAACTGAGCATAAATACTAACATTCATTTCATGAGTCCGTTAACTAAACCGAAGGTAGTTTTCGAATGTCACGCGAGACGAAGGGTCGATGACCCCGTGCGTCAGCTATGATGACCCCACGCATCAGCTGTTTTTATAAATTTAACTATACATGGCGTTTTTTTTTCTAATTTTGTCGCGCCGATAATATAATAGTTCTCGATCTGTCTACCGTGTGCTTAGTTCGAGTTTTTTAACTTTCTCGATAGCGTAAGAGTTAACTTCAATTTGTATGGAATTGGGACGTTTGCCTACGTTTGCCGCTAGAGGCGCTGTTCCAATTTGCATACATATTTGAGTTAACTTTTACGCTATCGAGAAAGTAAAAAAAAACTCGCACTAAGCACACTGATTCCGTTGTCAGGCTGTGAATTCCAAGATGTGAGTTTTTGTTTGTTAGTATAAAACTTATTAACGTTTTTTTTTTTAATATGCAAATCTAAAATTAAGACGAAAACGTCACAATCGCACCCGATATATTTGTAGCTTAGATCAATTCTGTTAATAATATATTTACTGTGACATAATTATTTTTAAAACCTTCCTTATACCTGTAATGTATCTTCATACTGAATTCGATTTGTTTATTTTTGTGAAATATAATATTTTTTGTATCATTTTTTTGTAAATTATCTCGTGTCTTTCAATAATCTGTCTCGTCTATTTTTCCGGAAGGTAGCATTACCTTTTGTTTGGGGAGTTTTTTTTTTTTATAATGGCAATTATTAAGTTTTTTTTTTAAATATGGTAACAATCAACCGCGCTATCTTTAATGTCTGATGTCGCATTATCGCTTTAGGTGCGACTCTATTAATAATATTTACATATCGAAGGGTGAAAGCCTATTTGGTTTAAGCTACATTTTTGAAACTTTACAGAAGAAGCATTGAAAAGCTTAAAATTTAGAATAATATTAAAAAAAAAAAACGTCATCTGTTCATCTTCAGTTAGTTGAATGATGTAAACTTAATTGAAGTTCGATTGAAAACAACGAATTGTTGATGCTAATCACTGCATAGTATAAAACAAACTCGCTTTCTCTGTCCCTATATCCCTATATATGCTTAAATATTTAAAACTACGCAACGGATTTTTATTCGGGTTTTTTTAATAAATAGAGTGATTGAAGAGGAAAGTTTATATGTATAATAACATCCATTAAATAGTGGAGAAATCAATAATCAATTACAGTTTCCGAAGCGAAGTGACGGCGGGTCGCTAGTAACAAATAAAACGGACCTTTTACAAAAATAAATTTCGTGTGTTTCGCGAAATACTGCTTAAACCAAAATAGTTTTTCACCCCTCGATGTGTTATTAAAAGTGAATTAAAACTACGTTAGTGCCGGATTTATTTATTTAATCGATTCCTTCATCAATCATTCTGAGGCCACTAAACAATATTTTGGTATAATAAAAAAAAAAAAAAAAAAAATCTGTTTTTACAACAACTATTTCGCAATTTTTTTATTGTTTTCTTCGTTTTTCATGCCGATACTTGATTCAAAGTGAAATTCGGACATGATTTTGTGGCATGTGTCAGTCCAATTTTTTTTCCTACCTATTTTAGTGACCTCGAGGGGTCATACTAGATTCACCGAGTGAGGAGTCCAATAACGTGGTGCCTCAAGTAACAAGGAAGGCCACCACAGAAACTCCTGTACCTCACTCTCCTTCTTCGTCGCTTTCTTCTTATTACCGAAGGTCGTGTCTCTGTAACTTGACCTTCGCCTGTCTCGTGAGCTGTTTCCACCTCGTCCAGTCCTCAGCTTCTCGAATGGCGATTGCGAATCACCAAACTCAATCTCGTTTTCTTTTTCTATTTATTATCCATATACTGGGTGTTAGGCGACCGCTTCAGAAAATGAAAATTTTGTACCTACAAAGTTGTAAAAGGAGCGCGGTATCAGCGCCGCGCCCGGGAGTTCGTTGACCCGAGCATCAGCTGCTTTTGATTTTGTGTTTCATTGCTGGTTTTTTTTAAAGTAAAATAATGTATTTTTTATGAAGCTATCGTTTCATTTAGCTGTACTAACATCTTAGATGGGTGGACGATCTCACAGCCCCCCTGGTGTTAAGTGGTTACTGGAGCCCATAGACATCTACAACGTAAATGCCGCCACCCACCTTGAGATATGAGTTCTAAGGTCAATGTGTTTCTTTTTCGTTAATATGTTTCTTTTTTATCTCCTTATAAAATGTAAGCAACACAAAATATACGTCTTGTACATAATGAAAAATAATAATAATTAAATTGTTTAAAATAAGACACCCTGGTTCGATGTAATAGAAGTGCCTCTTCGCAACGATCAAATTATGTTTTGGACTTGTTCTTCTTTTTTTTTTTTTGTTTAAGATAACGAAAACTAATTTCGATTTTAAGCGTTCATAGTACAATTGTGTAAAATGTAAAAATCCGAACTTTGTACATTATTAATCAATTTAAATGTTTAATTTTTTTTTTTTATTGATCGATTTTTATAATACGATTGTCGATAACGTTTATGAATGTAATATGTTATAATTAAAATTGAATTTATGGTTAATTAATGTCTTTATCACTACAGAGTATAAAACTAAGTCGCTTTCTCTGTCCCTATATCTCTATGTATGCTTAAATCTTTAAAACTACGCAACGGATTTTGATGCGGTTTTTTTTTAATAGATACGAATGATTGGAGAGGAAGGTTTATATGTATAATAACATCCATTAAATAGTGGAAAAATCAATAATATATTACAGTTTCCGAAGCGAAGCGAGGGCGGGTCGCTAGTGTTATTATAAAAGATAATTTAAAACTATATTTACGGTTAATTAATGTCTTTGTATTATAAAAGATCTAACAGATATCTTACAGTGTTCGTGAAACTATTTAAGTGTTGTTCGTTGAAATTAGATTTTTTTTTTCTTAGATGGGTGGACGAGCTCACAGCCCACCTGGTATTAAGTGGTTACTGGAGCCCATAGACATCTACGACGTAAATGCGCCACCCACCTTGAGGTATAAGTTCTAAGGTCTCAAGTATAGTTACAACGGCTGCCCCACCCTTCAAATTTTGCAGACTACCGTCAGCTCGAGGCGTCGGTTAAAAAAAGATGTATAACACGTTCAATTCTCTATTTTAGTAAATAATACCAGTAAAGTTTTTTTTATTGTAGGCAGACGAGAATACGGCCCACCTGATGGTGAGTGGTTACCGTCGCCCGTGGACTTCAGCAGTGCCAGAGGCAGAGCCAAGCCGCCGCTTACCGTTAAGTATATGTATGTATAACACTAAATCACAGTCATATATAATCCAGTATCGGGCATAACGTGGGAGGAGCTAAAATAGACTGCTCAAGACCGATGCAAATGAAAGGATTTGATTCTCCAATCAATTCCTTACCCTGCAACCCAGCAAAGGGTAATAGGAAAGAATGAAGAAAAAGAAGAAATCATTCCACATTTAAAAAAAAAACGTTATCGACAATCGTATTGATAAATATATACCTATCGAGAAGTGAAAAGGTTATTTGGTATAAGCGACATTTTTGCAACTTTACCAGAGAGCCATTTAAAGTCTAAAATTTAGTAAAACAATTTTGGTCTGAACAAAAACACTTCGGCTTTTTGAATGTGGTAAACATAATTGAAGTTAAATTAAAAACATCGAACACATGTTTGATGTTAAGAACTTTAATTACAAAAGTTAAATGTCGATTAAACCAAATAGCTTTTCACTTTTCGATAATTAATAGTGATGTGTAAGTTTTTGTATCGATATAAGTAATAGTGATTACAACATAATATATCACACGTGTATAGTTAATTAAATGTATTGGGAGACAAAAATGTGAGACTATTAAAATATTTGTTTACAGGAAGAAATTACTGTTTCGTGTTCTTTGTTTTTTTTTTCATTGTCCTTTTTTCTTACTCTTAACTTCATTGGAAAATTAGTTCGAATAATTATTATAATTAATTTACTGTAAATTATTGCAAAATATTTATTTTCGTATAGTGTCTCGCTTGATTCGTGTCTAAAATGTTCAGTCTAAAGTGTCAGTGTCAGGAACATGTGTCATAAACAGTGAC